TTCTCCAGCGTTTTCTGGTGTTCCCTGGGGACAGGAAGATAGCGAAATGTGGCCACTTTGCTTCCTTTTCTACTCAGAAATCACTCAGAGAGGCTCTTATTTTAATGGCCATGGAGCAGAAATGTAAAATAGTAAAAATTCTAAGGGAACCAAACTTTTCCAAATTTCTCGAAAGGCTTGGGTTGCTTTAGTTTGGTTTGCTGATTATCTTTTTCAATTATTTCCCCTTGCCTAAATTAAAAAAAAAATTAGTTTAACTGTACATGCCATCGCTTGTGGTTCAGTGCACTTCCCAGCTGCCTTTCCTCCCCAATCTGTTCATGACAGAGGATGGCATCAGAAAAAGATTCAATCCCTGTTGTGTCACACTGTTTTGTATCCTTTTGAGTTGCACTTTTATTACAGTCCACGTGGCAGAGCTGTAATTTGAAAGCGAAGCAATAAACAACATTCAGCTTCATGGGGTTTGCTCACACATTGTTCTGGAAGAAATTTGGACAAACAGCCCGGAGGTAAGGGTTCTGCAGCCCCTGCTCACAGGCATCATCTCCAGGGTCTTCCCATGCTCCTCAAGGCACAGTTTAATGGTTTACACTCTGTGCTCTGGCGTGATGAATCTTGCCAGTGCAATCACAAAAAAAAAAAAGGATTCAAACGAGGGTTTGTGACAGCTGGTCCCCAAACCACATGCCAGCGAAGATAAAGCGAATTCCACAGTGAATGCATGAGTGGCACACGGTCTGCCAGCAAATTCAAGGCAGTGGTAAGTGACTGGTGGCATATAAGGCTTCTCTCAAGAGTCAGAGGAATTGCAGAACTGCCAAGCAGATCGCAGCTCGTGTCTGCAGAACGGCAGAAAGTGTCAAGGGAGACAATTGCAAGAGACATCAAAGTAATTTCAAGAAAGAAACAAGCAGTAACCAGAAAGCACTGTGAAGACTTATACCAAGGAACAGAAGAATGAATCTTGGAAGGGACATCTCAATGGCTGGTTCATTTAATCCCCAACACGGTGCCCGCAGTCTAAGTACAGCACTGACCTGCTCGAGGTCAATCATCACGCAGCTCACCTGTCTTCTGAAAACCCGTAGGTGACGTGGTGCTTTTGAAAGGATTGCCTCTTTGCTGGTTGGCATATTTTCTGTGTGTCTGTCCTCTTCTCTCTGGGACTGACTGCAATCCGGAATATACATCTATGGTGTCCCAAGCCTCCGTTTACTGTATCGCCTTGCTCCTGTAGAAATTTAAAAAGGAAAGCGATTTAGAAAGGACTCTACCTTATCCCATCTTTTTTTCTTAACATAACTGTGAAGGATGTGTTCCTGCATGAAATTATCTACTAATTTTCTTGTCTTTATTTTCAGTGTTTCGAGTGTTCTTAGGAGAAGCACTGCCAGACTTCCAACATATTGTTATGGTTATCACCTTGATAAATATAACCCTATTCTGTCTGCTTACCCCTCTCTCCAAGTCCTCCTGCTGACTCCTTCTTCTCTTTCCTACCAAGCGTAAGTTTCTTTTCGTTATTTTCAGCATCTTCACAGCCTTCTCCTCAACCAGTTTCCAAAATCTGCATGACCAGTCTTCACCTCTTCTACCATCTCTCAATCGCTATGAACATGTTCATTCCGATTCCCTTCTAGCCCACAGAAAGCCTCCAAATTGCTAAAACTTCGGTGAAATACCTGGGTTTTTTTTTTCACTTTCCATTGTCCTGTTTGAGAGAAGGTCCTTGTAACTATCTACTGGCCAAGCTGGCCCCTCCTCACAGGCAGCTCCGCTGTGCTAATTGTAGCTCACAAGCCCACTGACCTCACTGCTGATCCGTAGTCCCAGTTTCATCGTACGTCTCCTCAGACAGCACCATGCCTCCCATGAAGACTACTGGGAGCTTAGGGCAGGAACCATTTCTGTATTATTTTATACAGCACCGTGCACAGTTTCCTTGACTGGCAGTTTGGTAACACCCAGAAATACAAACGAAATTGCCATTCCACCGCCCACCAGACACCCTGTCAGGATTACTCCTGACCATGCTCTGATGAACCCGGATGCCTGTGAAGACCTTCAGTGAAGCTTATGAAGCACGATTCAAGCTGTCATGATACTTCTCAGTGACTTCAGTTCAGGCATGAAGGCCAAGCCTCTGATCGCAGCCTTTCGTACTTCGCTCGAAAACACCCACTGCAGAAAAAGTCAACAGAAAATACAGGAGCCCAAGGCATGCTGAAACATTCCGAGGAATAATGAGCTGCAGAGGGCTAGCAGCTGGAGGCAGTTGATGATGCCCAGCAAGTAGGGTGAAAATGAAGTCTGTGGAGTGCCTGGCTATCTATCGTAGGGTATTTGCATCATTTCTCCTGGGCAGCACTTACTCAAGAGCCGCGCTCGTGAAACGCAAAGAAGTTACCGCAGGGCGTTCTCATTGTGCCTCCCATATTTCCCTGTCCTTCATTTAGGGCCAGTCCTGGCCGGTGCCAGCACCCAGCACCCTGCTGACTGACCTGATGCCATCACGCAGCATCACGAGAGAATTAATCAGCACCTTGCAGCATCTGACCACTGGCCCGCCGGCTCCTGCTAGCCGAGAGGGTTAGTTCTTCCCTTGTTTCTTGTTCTGTATTGAACGTCCACTTGGCATTAAGAAAGGACAAGGATATACCTGAAATCTGGTGGTGGAGTTCGACCCTCAGCTTTACTGAAGACTGTAAAACACTGGCACTGCACCCGGGTACTGCAGGGAAGGCAGGGCAGCTGCAAGTCGGGAAGTTTCTAGTTTGTGCTTTCGGCTTAGAATAACGGGAATTTTTAATCATCTTGCTGTGCACATAAAATTCACAAGGGGAATGTACATTTCCCTAAATAAGAAACAACCCTCACATGGACAAAAGGACTTCTCTCTAAGGGCTATTTCCATGGTAACTTGTCAATTCAAAGCTGAAGCTGTTTTGGCTGCAGGGATACTCAGAAAAGGTAACAAGATTGTTTGTTGTTGTTAATAATGGGAAACCATCATTACTGGTTCTCTCACGCAAAACAGGCTGGATTGCTTTTGTTTAAAACTTCCCCAAAGCTGGCAAAGAACAAGCATGAAAAATTTCACCCTGACAGGTGAAAGACTAAGAAAGCTGAGAATGACTGAACACCAGGAAAGAGAGGAATTAGAATAGAAACTTCTTCATGAGTTACCCTTGCAGCATCCCAATACATCCACGTAGTCCCAATACATCCACGTAGTCCCAATACATCCACGTAGCCCTTTTTATCCTGCCGAAATTCAAAGTGGGTCACGAGCTGTGTAAGCATATACAATTTTTATACACCACCGCACTCACGTTTCCAAGAGTTTATCCCTGCTAAGTGAGGTACTGTAATCCTACGCAGGGAAAAATAACACGACCACGTTGTTAAAGACAGCTATATTCTATTCACAGAGAGAGGAAATCCTGTAAGGGCAGCCGTCATTAAAGTGTTAATGCAATTAACAACTCTCTGCATTTCTTAGCCTTTGGATACCTGACTCAGCAGGTGTCTTTCTACTCTTTGGATGTGGAAGATGGAGGAAATAATTGCATCCCGTTACTGAGGCACATTTCATTATGATGAGCTCTGCAAAGTGCCAAGCACCTGCTTAAAGCCTGTCCGAGGCTGCTTTTTCCCATAACAACAAATCATAAAAGTTACAATTTCGTCTGGCCTCAGATTGCTGAGGTTGCATGTGTGAATGAACTGGAATTTGCCTTAAGGCGAATATAGCTCTGGGTTAACGCATCACCTCGGTGCTCTGAGAGCCCAGACCAAGGCAGCACATCACCCAGCTCTGGCTTTAAAGGCTGTTGGGGCTGCTCAGTGTTTTCCAGATCATGCCCACCGATTTATAGGATTAGGTCCCATGCGGTCAGCCAACCTGGCACCTGCGGAGCTGAAATGCAGCTGGGCAAAATGCGTATCTCAGTGCGCTGAGCAGCGTTTGGAAAGGTCTCTAGTTCCAACAGCGACTGCGTTTAACATTTCTGAATCCAAGGATCTCTTCAACCACGTTTGCCAAAAAGCAAATTAAAAACTGATGCACGAAAGGTGACTGACTGGCCAAGGTGATGAGCGCTGATGTCTTTGGCTGATTGAAATAGGCCTCAACTGAACCTAGGAAGCAGTTAATAAAGCATAAATGTGCAAGCTGTTTTCTAATTGAAACCAAAAAATCATCAGAAGGGAGATAATTTTGTGCAAATGTTTCTAAAAGTTTGCTTCGTTGGACAGTCTCCCTCTACAATCAATGGCAACGCTCCTACCAAAACGTGTGGGAACCAGCTTTTGTGTACATTCAAAAACACATTTTGGAGTCTTCAAGCAAGCTGCAAACAGTGCTACACACCACCGGGATCCTGGTCCAAAGATAGTCCCTGACTCCCTGCTTTTCCAAGCACTCAACCAGCAGCAATTGTCTTCCTCCCTGCAGTCAAGCACAGGCTAACCGTGCTCCAAAGGTGGCTCCTGCTGACCGACCAGCTTGTAAGGGGGTGAAGAGAGACCACAAATGGTCTGGGGTTGTTTTCAGATGGAAGATGAAGAGGTCACTCCCTCTCCTGTGCTGCTATGGGATCTTTGTAACACTGTAGGATTTTCCTGTGTAGATGAAACTTCTAAAGATGTTAAAAATAGGCGTTTTGTTCCCTGCAACACGCTTTTTAATTCATGGATTGCACTGTAAAAAAAAAGATGTGTAGAAGACTTTAAAATTTTCAGCCTCTGGGTTTTCAACCAGAAACAGAAATGAGACCAACTCAGAGTTTTCAAAATTATTTTTTCCTTCATTTTCAGATTAAAATATTCTTCTTTGTATTTATATAATTGATTATCCACATTAAACAAGGTAAAAATTACCTTGCTACCAGTTTACACCAATTACACTTTAGAGCCTGCTAGAAGCTGATTATCCCTGTATTTTCTTTCCGCTCCGGAAATTTTATTTCTCACGTGTTATTTTGTGTTGTCCCCAGGCCCCCACCTCTGACACTGCAGCTGCTGTCAAGCCCCTGAAGGAGCGAAGTGCTGGGACCAGGATGGCCCTGGATTTTCTGTATCCTGCAGGAATGAAGGAGAAAAATGAGGAAGGTGGAGCTGGAGTAGCTGCAAACGGTTTTCAATCAGTGGGTCCTGCTTTGTTGCTGTGAAGAGAGGGGATTAGAGGCAGGTCACAGCCCAAGAGATAAAACCTCCTGGAAGAGGAGCTCGGGCAGTGCCTCGGTGGGCAGTGGGAGCCCTTGCTCTGCAGCTGCCCGGGCTGGTGCGTGCCCTGCCTTTAGAAAAAGGAGTGGGGGGCAAAAAAAGGGCAGTGTGGGCCAAGTGGCTGAAGGTGAGACTAGCCTGCGTGACCCACCATGGCAAGGGGGCTTCTCTGTGCCCTGGTGGTGCTGCTGCTGGCCCCGCGACGCAG